GGCTGCAAAAGCTAAACATTCTCTTTTGCCACCTGTCTTCTTAGAGCTGACATGTGACTTCATCCTGGCCTACGAGACACCAGGGGTTCTCTGTGGGAGTGGGTTAGACCTTTCTCCTTGACTAAAAGGAGACAGACCTAGGAGAAGAGCACTTGTGCACCTCTCTCTCCTTTCGCTTTGCACGCTGCTGTGTAAGGATGTGATGCCTGGAGCTGTGGCAGCCTCATTGTGATTACATAGCCCCAAGCCTGAAGCTGAAAACTAACATGCAGAGGAAGGTAAGAATGGAAAGATGAAAAGAGCTGGGTCCTTGAAGGCAACGTTGAGCTGCCAAACCAACCCTGAGGACCACCTGTATTTCTAGGGTCAATTGAGTTAATAAAAGTCATTTGGCATTAATCCTCTGTTTATGTCACAATTAAAGCATCCTACTGCTACGATGTAAAAAAAAAAAATTTGTAAGTGCTCACATAGGTTTGCTGAGTATCTTGATCCTCCAGGCTTCCTTCCATCTTTTGTCCATAAAGTTTCTTCACCCTTTTCCGCAGATTGCACAGAGGCACCGCCTGTGAGAGCGCCTCTCAGTGTGATGTGAGGCTTGTGCACACTCCAAACTTCTAGAAGAGAAATAGTAAAAAATGCTTCTGTGTTAGGCCAAGACACCGACTTTCACACAGTAAAGGACTAGATGCGACTCCACGGCCGTTAGTTTCTTCTTTCAAGGGAGAACCATGGCTGTGGATGGAGTCGGGAGGTGACAGAGGAGGAATGGAAACACCTGTGCCAGACTGTAGCCCCGGGAGTGACAGGCGAGCAGCAATCGTGAGTCGACCTGAAGCTTCAGAGTCATGAACTGATTAGTGGGAGGTAGGGGGTGTAAATTAAACAGAGGGAAAAAAAAAGATGAGGACCTTGCAAAATGTCCACATACTTAACTCCTTATTCCTTAGAGTCCTGGCCTAGAAATAGTCACGTGCATGTTCGCAACATGTGAAAAGGTAACCTGAAGCTCAGTGCCGTCCTTTTATGTGAAGGATGCAGGTGTTTAGCCCTGCGTGGGTGGCGGCAGGTGCGACCCTTCCCCAGCATCCTGCTGTCCCCAGAGTCCTGCTGTCCGTGACCCTTGTGCGGAAGCTGCGGGATTACCATAGAGACAAGACCGGTGGTACGATGCGGGGGCAAAGCTCGGCTGTGCAAAGCCAGAGGCTTTGGTTTCCAGAGAGAAAGCTGCTTCTAGAAAACGTCATCCTTCGAAGCTTCGTTCTTATTTGGAAAGACACCAAAGGCCCAAGGCGAAGACGAGGTCTGCAGTTTGCAGCCAGCAGCTATGGAAGCAGGACCAGGTTGGGAGGGTGTGCACGGGCACACGCGAGCGCGCGCGCACACACACACACACCCACTCGGTAAACAGAGGCCGAGTCTGCAAATCATTTGGGGCCTTTTAGGAACTTTATGGCTCGTCCTCAAGTCTAGTGCATTTGACTAACTGGTGGATTTCTGGTTGGAGAAAATGGAAGGTACTAAACATTAGTTTCTGGGCTATTTCATTCATCAGCCTTCCCCAGGGGCTTGCTTTCCTCATGAGCAGATGGTTACATCAAAGGTCACTGCCCAGAGCGACTCCTGGAGCCTCCCTACTCCAGCCGTGGGACCCTGGCCCTGCACCAGAGCCGAGGCACCCCTCCCTGCACCCTCATGCGGGCTGCCACGTGGGCTGCTCCTCAGATCCTTCCTTCAAGGCCAGTCTTGGTGAAGGAACCCTCCAACCACCAAGCTGTCGGGCATGTGCTGGGAGTTCCCAGTTCTCCATCACGGGAGCTGGTCTGAGAACTCTGTCCACCCAAAGGGGAGCTAAGAGGTGCAGGAAGGGGTTCTGATGGCATTTGAGTTTTGCCTTCCTGAACTCTGAGGGTATAGGCCAGAAAGGCAAATTTCTTCTTGGATTTCTATCACTCGCAACCTGAGTCAGCTCAGCTACTTCTAAAACCTTGTGGCTTAAAACTCATTTCCCCTCTATACAAGCTCCCAATTCCAACCATCTTGAGTCACATTGAATTCCCATGTACAGAGATGAATAAAAAAAATCCTTTAAAAATCCCTCATTTCCCCTCAAACAAGTATTACACTTGAGCATGCTAATTCTTTTGAATAAAAATTTTATTTTATAAGTAAGCACTTTCAAAGTTGTCTATACAAACCCCCAATTTTTAAGGTTTTCTTATAATACACCAGTGTTATCATACACAATGGAGGGAGTAACATTAAAACACAGTGCAGGCACAAGTTGTTCTAGATTTGCCTACTCATTGAATAATTTGAATGAAAAGTGTAGTAGTCACACAGAAATAATTAAATATTTTAGACAATAAAAATATTATGCCTACTGTATTATACAACAAAATGGAACTGAATATTTGCTTATGTGATAAAAGGGTTAATAAATCATTTGGGTTACAATCGGAAGAACATAAGTGTAAATCTGTAGAGAGATATTTTCCAAATAAAATTTCAGTGAAAGGCTAAACATTCTCAAGCATAAAGAATACATCAAGAATAAATCGTGCTTAACATGCTGTTGCTTTAGTGTCAGAAAAGCCACAAATTTGATAAACGTATGGTTAAAGCCAATGTTTCCTAGGCATGAATTCTACCGTAGTTACCATTTATGTGATACTTGTTTGGAAATGATGCCAACAGTATCAACATAGCTTTGCAGGGTGAGGGAAGAGAAACGCTCGCCCATGCTGACATGGTTAATTAACAGGCAGAGGCAGCGACGGAGGAGGCTGGAACACGAGAGGGGAGCTCATGTCACTAAATGCAGCTACAGAGGTAAAAGCACGAGCTGAGCTGGGGACAACCCAGGCAGGGACATGTTCTCTGTGGCTCAGGATTTTTATTTTTAGAGTGTTCCGAGACAAATTCCAGCAAGATGTCTGGTTTGAGTCAAGCCTTTCTTCCTGAACTTGACTTCTCAACTGAGGTACTTGGCATACTTAAGGGAAAAAATGAATACAACTCAGATTTAGTTTTGTTAGATATTAAGCTAAAAAACCAGCTGAAGGAGTAAGAACAGCCCAGAAAAATCAAAATCCTGTTTCCTGTAAAGAAATGTATAGGCAGACAGGTTTTGCTTATTAAAGGAACAGGAAAGGAGTAGAATTAGAGTTTGGGCTTTTTAAACAAGAAAAGGAGAAGAAAGTAGGAATGCAGAGGAACCCCTCAGAATGGAAATGAAATACAGATCCTATCCATCTGATGTTCTGCTTTGGGCGTTTGTAGCTAAGGCTCCTGTGCCTACAGGGGTATGTTCGCAGTATCTGGCTCTGGTTGATTTCCCAGGTGGTACACACGGGTTATCTGCAAGTTGTACTAGGCATCTCCTTAAATTAGGCTAAGGCCTAAATCCCAAAGCGATGGCAATCCCGAGCCAGGCTAGTTCAGGAAGTTGTCCCACTGTGTCCAGTCCCAGCATGCTTGTGCTCCCCCCAGAAGTCTAGGCCAGCTAGCAGTGGGAAAGGTATGCTTCTATTTCTGGCTCATGCTTTTCAAATAGTATGCATTTGGCCAAACAATGGGAACACAGTCCCAAACCCCCTGACTTCCATATATGCATGCAATCTGAGCCACCAAAATTGAGTTCATTTTTTCCGGAGGCTGTTCTGTACACAGTAAAATTCAAGGCCCAAATTCAGTGACTGGTGCAGCACATCATAAACCAGGAGGACTGTCATTTGGAATACTTTTGGCAGATGAAAGAGTATCACCCCACCAAATGTCATTCAAAAAATATTTTACAAGGAAATAAGGTCACTTTGCTTGTTTTTAAGCTATACAAATCAGTGTTTACTTTGAGACATAATTGCATACAGTACTTTTTCCTCTTGGGGATTCTGTTAATTTTGGAAGAATGTCTGTGCTCCAGGCTCTTTCTCCAAACTCTTACCATAGTTATAACTCTATCAAGTAGTTGCAAATGTAAATGTGGTCTTAATGGGATGTCACTCGCTAAAATCTGTTAATACTTAAGGCAACTGCTAAATGTGCAGTATTTTCTGGGACTTTTCTGAAAGGGGAAGCACATATTGCTACAGTATTTTATGAAGCAGTTGATATAATCTTGGACCAAGATGAAAACAATCAAATCATTATTCACTTTGAAACTGATACTACGAATGCCAAAATACTTGATTTTCAGGCTCATCTGGAGTTCAGCAGCTTCGTGCTAAACATATGTTTTAAAAAAGGCAATGACTTACATTTTCTGAAGTTTGACATCCAAAGGACAAAGGTAACTTTCTTGCAATGCAGTCAGAACAGTGACAATGGGTGATTTATTCCACAGTTCCATCAACAGGCATGTCTGTGGTTCCCCATTGTACCAGATTTTGCGCACGTGTGTATGTAGAGAAAGACAAACGTGCTCTTGATGTCCTTGTTTTTAAAATGCTTATTCTCTCCCAGGCCATTCAAATAACATGAGAATGTGCTTCCCTAAAAGAACCCCGGCTGTATCTAGAGATTTGTTTTAAAAAATAGAAGTAAGGTAGGTATGAGAGTGTCTTTACCAACCAAAGGAATCAAATTTGATTAGGATAATACGTGGCATGACAGCTCTCTAATTTTAAAGCCCACAATCTGAGCTTGTAATTGGCAAAGGCATATTCATTAAAGACTTTCTAAGAAGTGAAGATGCTATCTGAATATCTAGATATTGCTACAGAAGGAAAACTGAGTGCCTCTCTTGTATACAAAGCAGATGAAGACCAGCAGGAAAGAGAACTTGTCTCACAAACTGGGACATCCATGCTGAAAATTATCAAGTTTTCTGGGTAGGCAATGCCAGAAGTGGAGTATTGATATAGTTCTTAGGCCATGGGGAGAGGGTAGGAGAGAAAGATTCCCTATCATAATTATAAAACTTCATTAGGCAATAAAACTTTCTAGCTGGGAGACATATGAAAAATAACCAAGACAATAACTTACTAAGACAATGGAAATTCAAAGAAAAAAATTCATTTAGGGGATAGTACAGGTGAATCATTACTACACTTGACTGGCTGCGGGGAAGGACGGGGTTACTAGGTAGAGGGTTCGGTGCTCTTGGTTTAGTTTGGGTGATTCTTTAGTACTTAGTGAAACCAGCTGTGCCTTTTAGGTGGAGACGCCCCCCTCAATCCTCTATGTGACAGAAGATTTAAAATTGTAGAGAGTCATAATATTTACTGTGGGCAAGTTCACTGGTCCAGCTGAGTGGGGTCTTCGTGCTTTGTCCACCACTCATTGTTACAAAGGCAACTAAACAAAAAAGATGAAAGGAACCATTATGAATTCTTTCCTTGGTTATATGTCCATAATCTGCATAAAATAGATAATATACAATAAATCAAAACGAGGGTTAAAATGTGGAAATGGTGGGGGGTGGGGAGAAACGGCACAGCAATCTGGTATTCTTAAGGCAAAACAATTGGGGTCTCTTTAAAAAGACACTTTATTATATCCACAGGCGGTAAAATCCCAGAGCTACTGTTAGGCACGTGAATACAGACCCTGTAAGAAAAAAAATGAGCAAAGGATTAGTTGTGTTAACAGTCACTAAAGGATCAACTTTTTATTAAGAAAATATATAGATGCTTATCCACCTATCCACAGAGCAGGAAAAAACAAATGTAAGCAGCTCAGGTTGCTTGCTGAGGTGCCACATTCCACAAGACACCTGCCTATTTTTTTTTTTTTTTGACACCTGCCTATTAAAACACTCCATCCTTTACAATTATCTTCAAAGTAAAAACGTATCCAATATTCAATAAAACTTTTCAGGGAAAGTCATAAATTCTGTGATCACAAAGTATATATAAATGTACTATAGAGGGACACACCCTTTAAAACTTCCTGAACAAAACTCCACTTCTAAATGCTATTATGACTTAAAATATTGATTAATCCAAAATGTTAAATATGAGTTACAATAATTGCTAAGTTATTCTTATACAGGAAATCTTCATTCCCTCTTCTGGCTCAAAAAATTGCAAAACCAAAATAACTCCTTACAAAGAGTGTCGTCCCCAAGTGAAGCAGAAAGCATCCATAAAATACTGCCTTGAATTTCACTAAAAAAAAATTCCAAGTAACTACAGTTCAATGATAGTACCTTATAAAATTTAAGATTCTCAGTTGCAAGACACATTTTACTACTAAGGAAAAAAAATACTGATTATTGTATGATACTCTATCTACTGGATATCAAAACCTGCCTTCTAATTTCAGAGATGTTAAAATGTGGGGAAAAAATGTATTAGAATCGATGAAACACAGTATTCATCTTTGACTAATTTTCCAAATTTTATTTATTCTCAGCTTGTTTGAACTACCTAGATACAAGAGCTTACCTGCTAAATATTTAATGTTATCAAGCTTGTGTGACTCCAGCATGGTTTTGAGGCCAGCAACCTCAGTGTCTATCTTCCTGTCTGTCTGGGTGACAGCCCGATCTTGCTGGGCATGCTTTTAAAAGAGAGATTCACAGCATTAAACCACTTGGGATATATCTGCTATCCCCTTGGCTCCCTCTGTCCTAAAGACCCTCAACAGCAGGCGGCAGTCTGAGGGAAAGGTGGGGTGATTAAGGACATGTGGGCTTTAGCTTTAGTTCTACTATCTTCATGCTAGGATGCATTGGTCAGGGCCTTTAGCATCTCTGGGCCTGTTTTTTTTTTTTTTAAATAAATTTATTTTTTATTTGTGTTCAATTTGCCAACATATAGAATAATACCCAGTGCTCATCCCGTCAGTGTCTGGGCCTGTTTAATTAGAAAAAAGCAAAGAAAAGAGAAAAAAAGAAAACCAAACACCCAAAAAACAAACTGTTGGCCCTGCCTTCACATAGGCTATCTGGACAACTGAACGTAATAATCTGTAAAATGCTTTTGTAAACTTTAGATTGCTCTAAAAATTAAGATGAAAGTTACAAGCCAGCATTGTTCTCAATGACAATAAAGATGTCTTATCTTTCTAAATTCTTCCTAATGAGAAGTACACAAATAATGCTTTAAAAAGTGAATGTAGGGACGCCTGGGTGGCCCAGCATTTGGGTGCCTGCCTTTGGCTCAGGTTGTGATCCTGGGATCCGGGATCGAGTCCTACATTGGGCTGCCTGTGAGGAGTCTGCTTCTCCCTCTGCCTATGTCTCTCTCTGCTTCTGTGTCTCTCATGAATAAATAAATAAAATCTTAAAAAAAAAAAGTGAACACAATCTTAGACAATCTTACAATTTTTTTTCATAGATCAAATACTAAGTGTTTTATTAGGAGACTTGGTTATACCAAACGCCTCTTTGTATTCTCTATCAAATAAAACACAATTAAACTAGATACATAACCAATGCCCCTAAAGGGTGGTGAGTTTGCCTGATGTTATAAAGGGGTTGTACTATTTCAATAATGCATAAAAGCATTGGAATAATTAACTAAAAATCCTAGGACAAGTTAAGAAAGATTGACCCTTGAATAACACAGGTTTGAAGTGCATGGGTCCACTTTTACATGACTTGTTTTGACGTAGTACAGTACTGTAAATGTATTTTCTCTTCCTTATGATTTTAATAACATTTTTTTCTCTAGCATACCTTATTATTGTAAGAATACATTATGTAATATAGGAGTGCCTGGCTGGCTCAGTTGGTTAAGCATTCAACTCTTGGTTTCTACTCAGGTCATGATCTCAGGGTCATGGGATCAAGAACCCAAGTCTTCTTGGGATTCTCTCCTCCTCTGGCCCCTCTCCCCACCCTGGTGTGTGCATGTATGTGTGCATACACACACACACACTCTCAAAAATAAATCTTTTTTTAAAAAGGAATACATTATATAATACACATATAATATACGAAATACATGTTAACGGACGTTTTATATTATCTGTAAGGCTTCTAGTCAACAGTAGGCTATTAGTAGTTAAGTTTCTGGCGAGTTCAAAGTTACACACAGATTTGACTGCATGGGAAGGTCCCTAACCTCCCTATTGTTCAAGGATCACTTCTAGTTTCTTATGGCTAATAATTCAGGTAATGAGTAAGGAAATAAAGGCCCAGATGAGTAGAAAATTGTGTCAAAGGTTTTCCTCCAAGTATCTTCCAAGTTTCAGAGGTCCATAAGATGGAAAATAAGTAATGTATGCCATAAGTTTGAAAAATAATTTTAAAATCTCTATTCTTTGTTAGTCTTCAATCACTGGGATTTGAACTTTCATTAAGATAATCAAGTAAGTGCAAAAAAAAAATTCTCTGGTACAACACTTCTGGGTACATACCCCAAAGAACTGAAAAGAGGGACTCCAACAGATATCTGTACAATCATGTTCATAGTAGCATTATTCACAATGGCAAAAAGATGGATGCAACCCGAGTTGTCCACTGACAGATAATCCAAACATGATCTATTCATACGTGCAATATTATTTGGCCTTAAAAAGGACGGAAATTCTGACCCAGGTTACAGCATGGATAAACCTTAAAGACCTTATGCTAAGTGAAAGAAGCCAGGACAAATATTATGATTCCACTTATATGAGGTCCCTAAAGTAGCCAAATTCATAGAGACAGACATAGTCCTGGTGGTGGCCAGGGGCTGGGGGAAAAGGGGATGTAAGTCAGTGTGTTGTCGACAGGGAGAGTTTCAGTTCTACAAGATGCGAAGAGTTCTGTGGGTAGATGGCAATGATGGTTGTATAATGATGTGGATGTACCTAATGCCAATGAGCTGTATACTTAGAAATAGTTAAGATAGATGGAGGAGGCACCTGGGTGGCTCAGGCAGTTAACTGTCTGCCTTCAGTTAGGTCATAATCCTGGGGTCCTGGGTTCGAGCCCTGCATCAGGGGCTGATGCAGTGAGCTTCTCTCTCTCTCCCTCTGCCCTTCCCCACCACTCATTGTCTCTCTCTTTTGCTCAAATAAAAAAATAAAACCTTTAAAAAAATGGTTAAGATGGTAATTTTATGTGTACTTTACCACAACTAAAACAAAACCAACCAACCCTAGGACATAAAACTTGCACGTACCCTCCCATAACACATCATTACGAAGGGTAGTAACCACGCATGGGATGAAGCCAAGATGAACACTATGACTAAGAAAAGTCAGTCTTATTTCTTACCAATGCCACCATTTCTGTCCTCATTTCCAGCAGCTTCCTTTCATTCAACGAGTACTGAAATAAACAAACACGTAACATAGGTCAGATTATGATTTATCTTCTTCTTCCTCTCCTCCTTCTCTAGTGCTTTAAATATTCTGGTTTCAGTACCTTCAAGAATATAGGATACCAGAAATCACCTCTGGAATCAAGGAGCCTACTTGACACATTAGATGTGTCTTCTGAAGTTTCTTCCTTGTAGCCACTCACTGCTCCAGTATCTGGATTCCCTTTGTCACCCTTCACCTCTCTCTTCTGCTCTTGTCATCTGTTTGCTCTGATGTCATTGGGCCCCTCCTACTTGTATAAACAGCATTCCCCGGAGACCAATTTGCATAGCTGCTGAGTCATGTGCTTTTTGGCTTTGAGAGGATTGAAGAAAGTGGGGAACAATTTAGTTTGAGAGCTAACCCATCACAATCACAAAATTGGTCACTGCCTGAAACTTAGACAAAGACAGAAATGTTATAAAGTTGAGGAAAAAATAGTTTCAAGGAATATTATGTGACATAGACATTGCCTAAGGATACACCATAAGTACATCGGTACAAGAAATGCATGAAACCATCACATGTTGGTTTTAATTAAATAACAACAACCCACTTGGGTGTTGTCACAATCCAGTATCACTAAAGGAACTGACTAGCACTACCCAGAATCAAGTGTATCTTGCCTTTGGCTATTAACATTTATGCAAAGATTTGGTGCAATTTTGTTGACATGGAGACAAAAATCAGACACGCCTCTCCTCAGCAATGGGTATGGGATTTAATTTAACAAATGAAAATCTAGGGATCCCTGGGTGGCGCAGCGGTTTAGCGCCTGCCTTTGGCCCAGGGCGCGATCCTGGAGACCCGGGATCGAATTCCACGTTGGGCTCCCAGTGCATGGAGCCTGCTTCTCTCTCTGCCTGTGTCTCTGCCTCTCTCTCTCTCTCTCTCTCTCTCTCTCTGTGTGACTATCATAAATAAAAAACAAAAAACAAAAAAAAAAACAAAATCTATAATTTAAATGAAAAATTAGCATTTAATTCTTTACTAAATTAACCCTGTTATCGGGGAGAAAATTAATGCTTAAGTATTAGAATCTTTCTAGTTATAAAATGTTCCCCTGGAACTACCAGGGGGCTACAGTATAAAAACAATATTGCTCAGACATTTTTTTAAAAAAAGGAGAAAAAACCTACGACCCCAAACCAAAGACTAGTCTAGGACCAAAGAAAGAATGCTCATCTCCATCTTCAAATGTCAGGGTTTCAGATGAAGAAAGAGTTATGCATTGAATCGCCACCAGAGGGCAGGGCAGACTAGATTTTTTTCCACATCTCCCCAAGTCTTTATTGACCTGGACACAAGAGAAAAGTTTGTATCTAGACGCTGCCATTTTAAAAATAACATCAGGTGACTCTATCTCCCTGCACCACAAAGCAGTTTATAGGCCATAGTACTCTGAAACTGGCTTTAAGTATCACCAGTTATGTAACTGAAACATTCTATACAGAGTGGGAAGGTCCCAGTCCTCCTCACCAATGCACCCTGAGAGTACACACTATTGTCCTGTACTTCACAGTGATCTTAAGTTCAGGATTACCAAGAACCACTTCTCAACTCAGTTAATAAATCCCATCAATTCACTGGCTTTCACCCATGTTCATCAGTCCTACATCTTCCTTAGCTCTGGGCATCTTCCCAAATCAAGTGCCCTCAGATTTTTTGCTAAGTACACAACCCATAAGGATAAAGGGTAATTCAAAGAGTTTCTTCTTTTTTAGAGATTAATCGTATGCTACTGACTTTTAAGTATTTTAGTGATATTAGGTGAATTCATCTTTATGGTTGAAAAGTGGTTTTTGAGACAACAAAGGGACATGGGCATAATAATTATTTTGTACTACAAAGCTCAGCTTAACTCCTGAAATCCAGAGGCAGTTCCAGAAGAGTTAAGAACTTGTTTGAATTTCAGTACTGACTTCCTTTATCATCGTTGCATATTCCGGTTAAAAGCAAACTGTGAAAAATCAGAAGACAACGAACAATTGTGCACATTCAGTTTCTATAGGTGTATCCAGTTCTGTGTTAGTAAAAGATGCTTTACATGCCCTATTTTTCACTATCCTAATAAGAGAGAAGGTATCTAACTATTGCTATCACATTCAAATAAAGCCTGAACAAGAAGATAGATGAGTTAAGTCACTAGAGGCGACTCAATGTTATCTTTGTTAGAATGTACATATTCACTGCAGCATTATTTACAATTGCCGAGACACGGAAGATGTTAAGTGTCCACTGATGGATGAAAGGATGAAGAAAATGTGGTGGATATGTATAATGGAACATTATCCAGACATAAAAAAAGAAGGGAATCCTGTCATTTGTGACAACATGGATGGACCCTGGGTGATTACCTTAAGCGAAATAAGAGAAAGACAAAATACTGTATGATCTTTCTTATGTGTGGAATCTAAAATCTAAAAAAACCTCCCCCCAAACAAAAAGAAGCCCCCCAACCCCAAGCTCACAGATACAGAGAACAGAATGGTGGTTGCCAAAGGTTGGAGCAATGGGGTGGGTGAAATGGGTCAAAAGGTACAAACATAGAGTTGTAAAATAAGTTAAGTCCTGGGATGTAATGTACAGCATGGTGACTACAGTTTATAATACTGTACTGTATATTTGAAAGTTGTGAAGAGAATAGATCTTAAAAGTTCTCATCAGAAGAAATAAGTTTTGTAACTGTGTGGTGAGACGGTAACTAGACTTACAGTGGTGACCATTTTGCAGTATATACAAAGATCAATTCATTATTATACAACTGAAAATAATTTAACACTGTGTCAATTATAACTGAATAAAATAAAAAATGGGAAAAAAAGGTGTTGTAAAAACTTTGAGGGGAAAAAATAGTACTTACATGCATTATTTTTGAAAAGGCAAATGGGCAGAATGGTATTTGCACAGCCTTCTTGGGTCCTGTACACGATCCCATAAGTTAACTGTACAGGTACAAGTACCTTTCAGCCTACTTACTTACAACCTACATTTCTGATATCTTTTTGGTAACAAATGTACAGAAGTACCTTTCCCAATTAAAAATTTCAATTGATGGACACCTGGGAGGCTCAGCGGTTAAATGTCTGCCTTCGGGAATCCCTGGGTGGTTCAGTGGTTTAGTGCCTGCCTTTAGCCCAGGGCATGATCCTGGAGTCCCGGGATCCAGTCTCGCATCGGGCTCCTTGCATGGAGCCTGCTTCTTTCTCTACCTGTGTCTCTGCTTCTCTGTCTCTCTCTCTGTGTCTTTCATGAATAAATAAATTAAAAAAAAAAAAAAAGCCTGCCTTCGGCCCAGGGCATAATTCCAGCATCTTGGGATTGAGTCTCATCATAGGGCTCCCTGCATGGAGCCTGCTTCTTCTTCTGCCTATGTCTCTGCCTTTCTCTCCCTCTCTGTCTCTCATGAATAAATAAATAAAATCTAAATAAATAAATAAATAAAATAAAATAAAATAAAAATTTCAATTGAATGCAACCTAAAGATTCATTTATAATTTGCATTTCTTTTTTTCATAATTTGCATTTCAAAACAGTGCAATCAAGTCATTAAGATTTCTCTCTAAAACAAAAGACTATAGAAATATTTTTTTAATCTTGAATTTCAGTGTAGCATCTAATTTAATATTATTCAAGACAGATGATCAAAAAAAAGATGATCAATTTAACTTTTGAAAAATCAGGACTCCCCCCACCCCCCCCAAAAAAAGAAAAATCAGGACCTGTGGAGGTCTAAGTTAGGTTAAATTAAATTAGACTGAGTTTGGTTTCTTTGATGTCTAAGTTACACATAATTTAGTCTCTCTCTCAAACAAAATGAGATTCAAACTTGACTTAACCAAGATCTTAATTAAAAAAATTTTTTTAAAGGTTTTATTTTTAAGTAATCTCTACACACAATGTGGGCCTGAACTCATGACCCCAAGATCAAGAGTCACACGTTCTACTGACTGAGCCAGCCAGGCGCCTCCCAACCTTTTCATCTCATTTTTGAAAGCATCAAATTTAAGCTCTAAGCCAAAGTAAAATTAAAGAGAAAACTGTGTCTGACAATGATGTTAAACAGGTAAATGTTTAACAGACCTGGTGAACTATCTGTATGTTCAGACCGGACCAAGCATTCCATCCTGCAAAGAGATGAATTCATACTCTGTGTTTAATAAAGGAACATACCAATTCCTTCACTCTGCTCTTTTCTAGATTGAAGTCTAACTTGGTATCTGTTCGGACTTTGATCACTTCATCCTAGCAGAAGGGCAAACAGAGAGAGAAATCCAAAGTGAGAAATGGAAACCCTCTTGGGAGGTGAATCCTGGGACTTCCCAGTCATATATACACATGACCCTCTTCTATAAAGCTTCAGTTGGTCCAGAGGGGGCTGTGGGTTACTGTAACTTTGAACCTCCAGAGTCTCAGTGTCATCCCCTTAGGGAATTTATGACTGAAGCTGTTCCCTGGACAACTCTGGAAAGCAGAGATGGACTCAAAGAAGGAAAATATGAAATTCTGGTTTAAATAAAGCCTTCTTTCTGATACTCGTCAGAACCTTTTCTTCCTTAACATCCATGTCCTTTCCACTAAAAAAAAAAAAAAAAAAAGAAAGAAAGAAAGAAAAGAAATCCAAACAGCTGGCATAGTAAACATTTTGAAATCACATGTAATTCTCTAAAGCCAGTCTTTTCTAACAGAACTAAAGGCTCCATGTGGCGACTTCTAACCATTTTTAAATTTAGAGATGACTTCATTCATCCTACATAATTTTCTTAATGAATTTGGTTACAGACATCACTCATTTATTCACTGACCATGGTCATTGCTAAATCTTCCAGGTGTACATATTTTAAGACATATTATACAAATATTTAACATAGTATTAAGTTTTTAAGAAGACCTAAAGTACTTCTGACATTATATTTATTACTATGCCTATGTAACTGCCAATAAGCACACAAACAGGACTGAGGATCTCACCATTATTTGTTGTTTTAATCGATGTAGTTCCACGTTTATCTTCTAAAAACACATTAAAAAAACAGTCAAGGATATGGCTAGAAGGTTAGAAAAAAAGACATACAACTTGGTAATAAACACACATTAGATGTTTTTGTGCACAGTTCTAACTCTCACTCCACATGAACCTGGTTGTATTCAGAATGAAAAATGAGCTGAAAAGCCTTAGTGGCAGACATGATTATATCTCCTACCAGGACGTTATTACAACGCATGTGCCTACCTTGAAATCAGTTTTAATTCATCTTAGAAGTTACATATAATCAGCAATACAATTGTTTTTTAAAGTAGGCTCCCCAGGCTGCGGCCCAATGTGAGGCTTGAACTCAAGACCCTGAGATCAAGACCTGAGCTGAGATCAAGAGTCAGATGCTCAACCAACTGAGCCACCTGCGTGCCCCAGTAACACAATTGTTTTTAGTACACGTTTGCCTCCTTCAAGTGTTCTTTTAACGAATTCACTTTGTAAAAACGCATCTAACACGTGCACTTTTGTCTATGCATATCATGTCTCAATGTCTCAAGAGTGACCATTTTTTATTAGTATGAGTGGCTCTCTAGTTTTACCTCATTTTCTGCTCTGAGGGCTGAAAATTCGCTCTTCTCCAAAATAATCATATCTTTTTTCACATTAGCAATCTGAGACATTATTTGCTGAACAGTGACCTCCTAGGAAAAGAAAAACAAAAAACATATAACCTAGTTGGCCTAGGATGTCTGCCTCCTACCTAGAATCATCTTAGTGAGAAACCAGGAGAAGTGGGATATGAGGAAAGAGGTTCAGCAAGGTCATCTTCTATTTCAGAATGAGGAAAGGAAAAGAATAAAGATTCAAGTCCAGTATCATCATCAAGTGAGCCAGTTAAAAGGGTGGCACAGCCTGAGGACCAGCAGCTCAAGAAAACGCTGCTGTAATTCCAGCCACATCTCCATTTGTTAAGTATGGTAAACTGGAATAGTCCATTTTCAAGCCTACTGAGTCTTCCAGCATGAGTCTACAATAGTTGACAAAATAGCTTCAAATAATTTTTTTCTTTTTTTTTTTTTTAAAGTAGGCTCCCCAGTGTAGAGCCCAATGTGGGGCTTGAACTCATGACTCTCAGATCCAGATCCAAGCTAAGATCTGACTGAGCCACCTTGCTGCCCCTTAAAAAAAAATATTTTTTATAGCACTGGAATTATTTGCCTCTCAACTACGGTTAAAAATATGAAATGCTTTTCAGTAGAATATTACCTAATATATATTACAAATAACATCCCAGCCTTACACTTTAAATTTGTTACTGTGCTCTAACAAAGCTAACCTGCTGCATTTTGGTGACCATATCCTTGTAGACGATATCCATGTTGGCATCCGTGATCTTGACCAATGCAGAGACAGTGATTTCTGCTTGCTGAGTGGTGAACCCTAAGCAAACACACAAAGACATTCACACTCTGGAGACTCCATTTATTGAGGGGGGGGGGACCCCTTCACAGAAGGGGGGAGAAATGTTTGAATTTAGAAAGACTGGAGTCCCAAGCTATGATGTGTCTGTCACTCTGGACAAGCATGACACATTTGAGTCTGTTTCTTCATGTGAGACAAAGAGCTGGGCTAGTGTCCTCTACTGTCCTATCTAGCTGTGAAAAACCATGTTTCCTTAGAATGTCTCATGATATAGAGGAAACCTGCAATGTGGCGTGGTCAAGGAAAGAAAGGGAAAATCAAAATTACAGATGCAATTTACTGCTTTTGTAACTTAAAAGTTCTAGGTAATCATTATTTCATTCCCTGTGGCCTAAATTTTCTACAAAAACGTGAATTCCTTAATTTTAAGATGCACACATTAGTAAGAATAATTTGCTTAAGTAGGAAAGCTCAATTATTTCATATCCAGCATAAATCCATCAATTCATTGACCACATAAACATAATTAGTAATTTCACTGTTCATTTATCTGATGTTAAAAGGTAAAATCCATTCTTTAACTTTTCTTCCACAAGTCTCTTCGATTGCTTATGGAGAGGGAGCCAGTCTGGATGAAAAATATATTCTTTGATATTCAGTAAATGATGCTGAATTGAAATATCCAACTCAGCAGTGATATCATTTTGTGGTTTTACAGATTCTATTTATTTATTCATGAGACACAAAGAAAGGCAGAGACATGGGCAGAGGGAGAAGCAGGCTCCCCACAAGGAGCCCGATGCAGGACTCGATGCAGGACCCCAGGATCACAACCTGAGCCAAAGGCAGACACTCAACCACTGAGCCACCAAGATGCCCCAATGTCATTGTTTTTAGTAACTTTAGATAATACTACTTGCAAAACTAGTAATGTTAATTAGGTGAACTTAAATTAAAAAATAAATAAAATTACAAATAAAAAATACTTTTAGATAGTAATTTATGTTTTACATTGTAAATACTAATAAGATGCTTAAAACCAAGTCCCTAAAAAGTAATTTTTTTCTATTAAATGCTTCCATCCATAAGAACTACAGAAGAGAGGCATCTGGGTGGCTCAGTGGTTGAGCTTCTCCCTTTGGCTCAAGGCATGATCCCTGAATCCCAGGATTGAGTCCCACATCAGGCTCCCTACAGGGCGCCTGTTTCTCCCTCTGCCTATGTCTCTGCCTCTCCCTCTGTGTGTCTCTCATGAATAAATAAATAAAATCTTAAAAAAAAAAAAACTACAGAAGAACCTACTGATTCTTGTAATTAAAGGCATAAAGTTATAACTGATATAATTGATATAATTTGGATGAGAAATACAGACTGTAATTTTTTTAAACTTATTTTAGAGAGAAAGAGAGAGCACACACATACATGTATGAGTTGGGGGGAAGGGCAGAGAGAGAAGCCCAAGCAGACTCCCAGATGAACAGAGAGTCTTGACCTGGGGCTTGATCTCATGACCCTGAGAGCATGACCTAAGCCGAAATCAAGAGTCTTAACTGACTGAGCCACCCAGGTGGCCCCTGACTATAATTAAGAAACAAAGACAAAGATTTAAAAGAGACAAAAGACCTCCAAAGACCTACTCCCTTCACTTTATTCAAAATGCTCTAATTTTCAACATGTGGGTCATGCCTATCTAGAAAAATTATCCAAAAGGTTACCCACCAAAATGTAAATAATGTTGTTTCACTCTGGTGCGCTGGGATTCAGGGTATTAATTGTTTCTTTTCTACCTTCCTAATTTTTTGAAAATGAAAATGTGTCTTGTGATTTTTAAAACCTTATGAAGTGTTCATAGTTAAACACAGTTTTAGTTTGGCAATTATGAAGAAAAGAAAAAGACTGGAGGAGAACTTATGCTGATACTAAACTCCATAACCTTATAATTTATAACCACCTGTGGGAGGAGGAATGGATAAGAAAAAGCAGAAGTTAGGCCTGAAAATCTACCAGGTTACCAATACAAAAGAATGTTTTGGAGAAATGAGAGAACAAGACATGTTCAGGGTTAGAGAGATTACAGACATGCAGGAAGTTTTGTGAAGCAGGAGACGCAGCCCTAGAGAAGACAAGGACAGAAAGTGGGAGAAGACAAAGATAAAAGATGTGAGACGCTTCCATCTGGGCCTCAACCTATGACATCTTAGATATCATTCATCTAAGAAGCCTCAAGTCCTACACTCAGTGGGGTCTTCAGAATACAGGTCTTGAGATATGCAGACTTGTAGGTCAAGGTTTGAAATCAAAAAAGCAGGAAGTACATCTATCGAAACATCACACTTTAAACATAAATAATGTTTGTTTATCAAAAGTAAAAAAATATTTTTTTGGTGAGGGTGTGAAAATAAACCTCATCTGTTAACAGAATGAAGATGTGTGGCCATCTCAAGTCCATTGCAGCTACTTTGCCATTTAATAAGATTTATGATGCTCCTTTACTGTCGTCAAACACCTAGCGTATGGTGAAATGCCCTAATTCTCTTGAATACGGCTTTTTACAATGGGTTACTTTGAATGCAAGAACACAAGGTCCATACAAAAAAGGAAAAAGCAGGATGACTTCTGCTTATCCACATAATTTCTGATGCCTCTCTTCTCACTTCTACTTTTTTAAAAATTCTGAGTTCAAAGTAGTTTTGGTGAAAAAAGGCCTAAGCAATGAAAATTATATGTTTTTCCAAAGTGCATTCAAGTACACTGTATTTTCTTTAATACTCGAAAGAATCTTTGGAATTCTTATTGTGCCCACCCTGATGAGGACATAGAAACTGGGAAGGATGGAGGTGCCTGAGTTGCTGAGTAGGTTTAGCATCTGCCTTCAGCTCAGGTCATGATCTCTAGGTCCTGGGATCCAGCCCTGCCTTGGGCTCCCTGCTCAGTGGGGAGTCTGCTTCTCTCTCTCCCTCTGCCCCTCTTCCCTGCTCTTGCACATAGGTGCTCTCTCAAATCAATAAGTAAAATTTTAAAAAGAGAAAAATGAGGGATACCTGGGTGGCTCAGTGGTAGAGTATCTGCCTTTGGCTCAGGGTGTGATCCCAGACTCCTGGTATTGAGTCCCACATCAGGTTCCCCACAGGGGAACCCACAGCCCTCAGCCTGTCTCTGACTCTCTCCTTTGTGTCTCTCACGAATGAGTAAGTAAAAATCTTTTAAAAAAAGAAAAAAGAACCCGGGAAGGATGAGAAAACTGTCTGGCTTTGCAGCTGGGCCCAGGCAGAGCTCGAACCCAGATCTTCTAACTCCCCAACCAAGTACAGAACTCACTCTAACCGCTTATCTGTCCTGGGCAAGAGAAGCACAGCTACAGATGGTAGCTCTGTAGAGAAGTCCACGTACAACTGGAGAAATATCTATACAGTGTAGTAAAGAGTCACAGTATAGAGAATCAGAATTCGTGTGTCTGTCTACATAAGATTAAATGGGAACGTTACCTATGTCCTTAATGCATTTTCAATAAACATCTTATGTGTTGGAGAATCTTTAATTATCAGCAATAATGGAAAATATTAGTTGGACTACTAAAAAAAAACCCAAGATAAAATTGTAGCAATTGCTGTTCAGCAACATTTTAATTTCATAACAATTTTTAAAAAAGGTATTATTTATTTTTGACAGACACACAGAGAGGCAGGGACACAGCCAGAGGGAGAAGCAGGATCCGGGGTCCCTGGGACCCCTCGATCCCAGGACCCCGGGATCACGTCCTGAGCCAAAGGCAGACGCTCAATCACTGAGCCACCTAGGTGCCCCTAATTTCATAACAATTTTAAAAGCACACAACATCGCAGTATCAAAAACTACCACTTTTGTGCTTCAGGTGGTTGTTACAGGAACCATTCCTGAGTTTTGCTAGCTTGTGTCTAAATTTTCATCTGTAGTGCTATACTTCCAGAGTGATGTTATAAAAATATACTTCTCATGGACAATGAGAAAATGTGTGCAAAAAGTCTCCACTGTACTGTACTGGCGGAAGCAAAAATGTCCTTAAACAAAAAGTTAAGAACTTGAAAAAATGGGAGACTGATCAAAAGATTATCTGTAAACTTGAACATCAAAGAGAAATAGGAGAAATTAGATAAGATCATAAGAACTCATGGGACGCCTGAGTGGCTCAGCGGTTGAGCGTCTGCCTTTGGCATGGGGTATGATCCCGAGGTCCGGGATCAAGTCCCGCATCGAGCTCCTTGTGGGGAGCCTGCTTCTCCCTTTTGCCCAGGTCTCTGCCTCTCTCTCTTTCTCTCTCTCATGAATAAATAAGTAAAATCTTAAAAAAAAAAAACAAAAAAAACAAGAACTCGTAATTTATAGTGTTTTTCCGTGGCACTGAGTGACCAACGGGAGAATTACCATTTTCTTCCAGTAAACAAACTAAGGCATGAGTGTCAAAGTAGAGCTTCTTGTTCCCGCAGGATGTGAAATCTCTCTTCTTGTGCTCCAAATCTCTTCTGTGCTCCAGCTGCAGGCTCCCAGCAGAAAGGCTTAGCTCTACAATGTAAAGAACAATTAGGCTTAAAACAGGATCTGACGGTAAACAAAAGCTATGAAAGAATATCGTATACCTTAAAAGCCTACCTGATTGCTTTGTGGGTTTTAGTGTATTTTTAGTAATCTTTATGCCCAATGTAGGGCTCGAATTCGTGACCCAAGATCAAGAGTCACACACACTTCCAACTCAGGCAGCCACGTGCCCCCTTTTAAACAACAGCTTTATTGAGATGAAAATTCATATCACATACAACTCACCCATGTCAAGTGTTCAATTTGATTTTTACTGGAATTCTGCAACATTCTGCACAGTCAACTCTAGAACATTTTCATTATCCCAAAAAGAAACCCTTCAGCTATCAAGCCCCAATCTCCCTACTCTCCTAACCTCAGGCAATTATCTTTCTGTGTCTACATATTTGCCTATGCTGGGCATTGCATATGAATAGAATCATAAGGGATGTGGTATCATGTGACTGGTTTCTTTCACTTAGGTGAGGTTTTCATGGTTCATTCACCTTATAATCATGTGCACTTTATATCTTTCTACTGCTGAATCACATTGTTTTAAGAATATACCAGTTTTTCCTTACCCCCTCATCAGCTGAGGGACATGACACCTGAGTTGTTTCCACTTCTTGGCTGTTATGAACAATGCTGCTGTGAACATTTGTGTATGAGATTCTGTGTGTGAACAAGTTTTTGATTCTCTTGGGTATACAGACAGGCACCGAATTGTCACATCATAGAGTGACTGTCTTTAATCTTATGAGGTTATGCCAGACTGTTTCCCAAAGTGGCTACACCACTTTTTATTCCCAAAGCAGTACCTGAGTGTTCTAATTTCTCTACATTCTCAACACTTTTTAAAAATTTATTTATTTATTCACAGAGACACACAGAGAGAGAGGCAGAGACACAGGCAAAGGGAGAAGCAGGCTCCATACAAAGAGCCTGACGTGGGACTTGATCCAGGGTCTCCAGGATCACACCCTAGGCTGCAGGCGGCGCTAAACCACTGTGCCACCGGGGCTGCCCCTCGACACTTGTTATTGTCTTTTTTATCATAACCATCCTAGTAGATGTAAAGAGGTATCCCAATACAATTTTTAAATTTTATTATTTTTTATGTGTCTCTTTGACTATGGTTTTTACGTATTTGTTCTCTATAATTAAGAGTATTTATTGGCTTGTCTCTTTTCATTTGTTCATTTGTTTCTTAAATCTCACACAAGTGAAATCATATGATGTTTGTCTTTCACTTATTTCACTTAGCATTATACACTCTAGCTCTACTATGTCACTGCAAATGGCAAGATTTTGTTTTTTATTGCTAAATAAGTCTATTTTATGTGTATGTGTATGTGTGTATATACACACACCACCTCTCCTTTATCCATTCATTTATCGATGGACATTTGAGCTGCTCCCATATTTTGGCTATTGTAAATAATGTTGCAATAAGCACAGGGATAGCTCATTGTAGTTTTGATTTGTACTTCCTTGATGCCAATGATGTTGAGCATCTTTTCACTGCTAACTGGTCATTTGCATATCTTCTTTGGAGAAACATCTATTTAGACTCTTTGCCCATCTAAAAAAATTGTGTTATCTTTTGGGGTACTTGGGTGGCACTGTAGGTTAAGCTTCTGACTCTTGGTTTCATGATCTCAGTCATGAGATCGAACCCCACTTCGGGCTCCAAGCTCAGGGCAGATTCTGCTTGAGATTCTCTCTCCCCTTCCCTCTGCTCTTTTCACACATGTTCTCTCTAATAAATAAACAAATCTTTTTGAAAATTGGGTTATCTTTTTATTATTGAGTTAGTTGTTCAGAATTCTTTATACATTTTAGGTATAAGTTCCTGATCATATGTATAATTTGCAAATATTCTCTCCATTCTGTGGGCTGGCTTTCACCTTCTCGATGGTGCCTTTTGAACCACAATAGTTTTAATTTTAATGAAGTCCTATTCATTCATTCATTCATTCATTCATGTATATTACTTGTGCTTTTGGTGTCACATCTAAGAAACTACTGGCTAATTCCAGGACACAGATTCATACCAGTTTTTTTCTAAGAGTTTTAGAGTTTCCGCTCATATTTAGATCTCGATCCATTTGAGTTAACTTTTATGTCGTGTGAGATGAGAGTTCAACTTCTTTTGTGTGAGGAAATCTAGTTGTTTCAGCATTATCTTGGAACTTCTCAAAAATCAGTTGACTGTAAATCATCTCTGGATTCTCCATTCTATTCCACTGAATTATATCTATCCTTATACCAGGGACACATTGTCTTGATTACTTGTAGCTCTGTAGTTTTTATATCCGGAAAGGAGTTTTCTAATTTTGTTCTTTTTTCAAGATTATGTTGGCCATTCCAAGTCCCTTCCATTTCTGTATGCATTTTAGGATCAGTTTATCAACTTCTACAGAGGAGTCACCTGAAACTTTGACATTTAAAACTTTTGTTTTAAATCTGTAAATCCAAAAAAAAAAAAAAATCTGTAGATCAATTTGGGGGAGTACAAAGTCTTCCAAGCTACGAACATAGGATGTTTTTCCACTTATTTAGGTCTTCAATTTCTTCAATGTAGGTTTCACAGTACAGCTGACCCTTGAATCCAGGTTTGAGCCACAAGGGTCCACTCATTACACGGATTTTTTACAGTATAGTATTTCCTCTTCTTTATGATTTTCTTTTGTTTTTAAATTTTATTTATTTGAGAGAGAAAAGAGCATTTGAGCATGAGCAGGGGAGGAACAGAGGGAAAGGAAGTAGACTCCCTGCTGAGCAGGAAGCCTGACAAGACTCTATCTGGGATCATGATCTAAGCCAAAGCAGACACCCAACTGACCAAGCTACCCAGGTGCCCCTCTTTATAATTTTCTTAATAACATTCTCTCTAATTTATATTAAGAATACAGATTATAACACATAATATATAAAATATGTGTTAATTGTCTCTCTCTTATGGTAAAGTTTCTGGCCAATAGTAACCTATTAATGGTTAAATTTGGGGGAAGTCAAACATATGAGTTTTTTGTTCAGTTTATCCCTAAGTACTTTATTCTTTTTGTTACTACTACAAAGGGAGTTGTTTTTTAGACTATTCATTCTAGTGTAGAGTAATGCAATTGATTTTTGTATTTTTCGTTATTTTTTTTTTAAGTTTTTATTTTTTCGTGAGAGACACAGAGAGAGAAAGAGAAAGAGAGAGAGAGGCAGAGACAAAGGCAGAGGGAGAATCAGGCTCCATGCAGGGAGCCCGACGTGGGACTTGATCCTGGGTCTCCAGGATCACACCCTGGGCTGAAGGCGGTGCTAAACTGCTGAGCCACCCGGGCTGCCCTTTTGTTATATTTTTAATGTTGATCTTGTATCCTAAATTCTCATTGAACTTGTTAATTAGCTCTAATGCTATTCTCAATTTCTTAGACTTTTCCATGTACAAGGTCATCACCTGTGAACAGTGATAGTTTTACTTCCTCCTTTTCAATCTGGAGGCCTTTCCATTGTCTTGCCCTGGTTAGAACTTCTAGTACAACGCTGCACGGATGGTGATGGCAGATATCCCTGCTTCTGACCTTTGGAGGGAAAGCATTCATCTTTCACCATTTAAGTATGATACTAGCTGTGGGTTTTTTACAGATGTCCTTTATCACTGAGGCAGTTCCCTTCTATTCCTAATTTGTCAAGTGCTTTTTATCATGAAGGGATGCTGAATTTTGTCAAATTCCTTTTCCATGGCTTTTGAGATGATCACATGGTCTCTCTTCTCTGTTAAATTGATTTTCCAATGTTAAATGAACCTGTTGTTTTCGGGGTAGAAATCTCCTTTGGTCATGATGTGTACTCCTTGTTTACATATTGCTGGATTTGATTTGGTGAGCATTTTGTTGAGGATTTATGTGTCTTTACTCATAAGACGTCTATAGTTTTCTTTCTTTGTGATGTCTATGAAAAAAAAGCCTCTTTAGAGAGATGTGTTCTAATAATTTATATGTTACCTTTCCTATGAATTTCTGTGCATTTAGCCACAGATCAAACTCATTTTGTAAACTTGTTTCAAGGTGCTCATTTGAAGAAGGTAGGATGTTAATAGTTCTCTGGCTTTTGTATTTCATGAACCATACATATAGTTTAAAAAAAAAAAAGTAACAATTGCAACGCCATTTAGTAATTCTGTCAAGAAAGAACATTTAAACACAATAACTCCTTACTATTACAAACTATGAAAGACATTTTGACAGCAAAAGAAAAAGAGATGGACAATATGAAATAAAAAAAACTTTCATTTCAATGTAATAAACACAGCTGTATGAAAATATTGCTACATATTTGTCCTTACTTTTCTATGATCCCAGGTTTGTGGAAGAAGCAAGTCACTAACTCGAAATTCTAAGGTTTTCTCAGTAAATCCCCTAAGTGACCAGAACGATAGTTCACCTAACCAGCTCCTATTGTTAATCCTTCACCTCTAAAGGATACGTGACATGGACTGGACCCTAGAGATCTGATGCTTGTCTGTAAGCCTATAGCAGTGGATTCCACCTTGGAAAAGAGGATCACAGTCAGTGTCAAGATCCAATAATCATTTTGTACCAAGCACTGTTTGCAGACTGACAATATATAAAATGCAACAACTGTTATGTTTAATGATTAAAAAAAAAAAAAAGGCCCTTACATTCAGAGAACCATTAGCTTACAGTACTGGGTCCTTGGCAAGGCACACAAATACAAAGCCTGTCCTAATTTAGCCAACACCTACTGTTTCAGGTTTCTTTCCAGTCACCTAAGCTATTCTGTGTCCTGCACTTGCATACCTTGGTGCTCCATCCTGAAGCCTGGCTTGCCCTCCCTTTTACAAATGACAAATTTTAAGCATCCTTTTTACCTCTCTTTATTTTACAATCAGCTAAGCAAATTATTATGTTCTGGGCAGGGCATTATGCTACACTGTGTGGTCTGATCGGCCAGTTCCACCCAGGTTAGAGGGCAGCCTTGATTGCTCTTTATCTATGTTCAGATATCTCAGTTCAGATAGCTCAATCACAGCACTTATCCTATTATTTCCACATCGGTATCATCTGTGAGTCCAAACATCCCAAGAGCAGCCAGTCTTAGTCATTTTCATGTTGTTAGCATCTAACCTGGCATACTGCAGGCCAGAAATAACTTTGTTTTTTGTTTTTGTTTTTGTTTTTTTTTAGAAATAACTTTGTAAGAGAATTCTAGGATCTGGATCATGAGACTCCCTAGAAAGAAAATTTGAAATCAACTCCTTTTACCTCTTCACCTATAATCTTCCTTTTACATAAATTAGCTCAGTTAAATCTGGTCCTTTTTTCATTCTTTATCCCTAGTATGAGACAAAACTGGCTCCAAGAGAAGAGACTCCAAATATCTGCTTGACACAGAACACATCTAGCTTGAGAAAGTGGTGAATGACTGAATGAGTGTCTCAAGGGGCTCTCTAGAGGGTAACCCACCCATTTTTAAACTGCGATCTATTGTCCCATAGGTCAGGGAGCTTGAAAACATTAGAACTGGCCAGTGAAGAGTGATGGGATTTTTCTAGTACCAAATTTCTCCCTTCTAACAACAAATTATCATTTGTGTGGTTTGAAACATCTCTTTCAGTTACACACACACACACCCCCAAAATAAAGTATCATGACTACTATCTAAGCAAGAACTAATTCCAATTTAGATGCCACAGATTTTTTTTTCTCGCCCAAAACAACTGGAATTCATTTCAACTGCAAGCTTACTTCAACACAGTATGTACTACCATCTAAAAAGTGGAGAAAAGGGCTGGCCACTTCTCACTTGGCAGGCCAACTCCTGCTGATGGAAGCTGAATGCCATCTTGCCTTCTGTCAAAGGGCAAAGCCTGAGGAGGAGCAATACTCTGGCATTCAGAATACCTCTGACTCACTTTTCCTCCTTTATTGTGACAACAAAGTAAGACCCAAGAACTATGAATTCCTACTAATAACCAGGAAGTAAACTGAGCTATGTTAAAGTGTAATGGATAAATCCTCCTCTGGGGGGACCTTCAGGATAGCAAAAGGATATTAAAAACACACACAAAAGCAGCCCAAAGTTAGCCAGGAATGGAGGAGGAAACCAAGTGTAAACTTGCTATTCATAAATCCTTAAGTTTCAGGAGCCCTACTGAGAACCCTGGCACCAAACATATCACCAGGCTGAAAGTAAAGGAACAGAACTCATTTGCTGAATCTTGCTCCTTAACTATGTTGTGGGTGCTTCCCCGTATTTAAGCATCCATCCTCATTCCGAAGAAACGAGATCCTTTGCCCCTAAGCCAATAGTACTGCCTTCCGGATATGATGTCAGAAAACCGATGAGAAAGAATACTCTTCTTCCCTTTTGCCTCGCAGTCTTGAATGATGAGAAGAAAATAAATCACAAGTTACTAGCTCGTCCAAAAAAAAAAAAAAAAACAAAGTACAAAAGTACTGAAATAAAGAGCAAAGTCATCTCTAAGTCATAATTACTGACAAGAGCTCACCGCTCATTCCCCACCCTTTACGCTCATTCCCCACCCTTTATACGTAAAGCTTCTTTCCTTCACTTTTTTGCCCTCCCAATCAAGTGTCTTCCCCAAAGGTACTCTTAGATTTTACAAAAAGCCAACAATTACCAAGCATTTCTATTAAGAAAAGCATTAACAAAAAAAAAAAAAAGCCTTCAGTGGGGTTACTGAAGGCTACTGATCCACACCATAAGCGATATTTTTGCCCTTTGCTAATAAAGAGGACTCCAAATGATATTTTCCTCAACAATTTGCTATCTAGGAAATTGAGCCTAGGCTTCCCTCATCTTCCTGCAGGACAGTAACTGCCCTCACCTCCTCCAAGTATTTAATCAAATGCCACCTTCTCAATGAAACCTATTCTGAAGGGCGCCTGGGTGGCTCAGCAGTTGAGTTCGGCTCAGGTCATGATGGGGGGGTGGGGGGGATTCTGGGATCGGGTCCCACGTGGGGCTCCCTGCATGGAGCCTGCTTCTCCCTCTGCCCGTGTCTCTGCCTCTCTCTCTCTCTCATGAATAAATAAATAATTCTAAAAAAATGAATTCTAGCTGGAAAAAAAAAAAAAAAGAAAATGAATAAATTTCTAGCTGGGGGATCCCTGGGTGGCGCAGCGGTTTGGCGCCTGCCTTTGGCCCAGGGCGCGATCCTGGAGACCCGGGATCGAATCCCGCGTCGGGCTCCCGGTGCATGGAGCCTGCTTCTCCCTCTGCCTGTGTCTCAAATAAAAAAATCAAAAAAAAATTCCTAGCTGGAAGCGCACCTCCGCTACCTCCCCTGCCGTATGTATCACTTCCACCACGTACATGTCAATCTCGTGTCCACGCGAGCTGCAGCTCCCTATGGGCATCCTCTCGTCCGCCGGGGGGAGCTCCGGGGTTTCGTGGACGGGCGCGCCCCGAGCACCCAGAAAAGCGCCGGCCGAGCCCAGAACCGGCAACTGGTGTTGAGGGAGTCCACAGGTCCACGCGGGTCGGAAGGGAACCCGCAGGGCCCGGCGCCGCGCCCCTCAGCTCGCACGTCCTCCCCGCCCCCCCCCCCCCAGCGGCGCGCGGCCCTCGGAGTCACACAGACGTTCGACCTACGCCCCGGCGGGCGGGGCCCGGCGACCTCGGCCGACCCGCCCTGCCCGAAGGCCGGCGCCAACGCCGCCCCTCCCGCGGGGCCCCGCCCGGCCCGCGCGGCCCTCACCTCACCTCTGCGGGGGGCAGCGAGGGCGGCCGCCCGGCGGCGACACAGGCGGAGGGCGCCGGCAGCCCAGGCGACGCCCGGGGCGAGGCCCGCCGGGGGCGCGCGGGGCGCCAGGCGCGAGCGCTCGGGGTCGGCGGGGGGCCTGCGCGGGGCGACGGCGGCCAGGCGCGGGGGCGGCACGAGCAGGAGGAGGAGCAGCGAGGACGCACGTGACGCGCCGCCCAGGGCCGCCAGGGCCGCCGCAGCCCCGCGCCCCGGACCCCCGCGCGGCGCTGACGGGCAGCCGGCCGAGGACAGGAAGGGCGGGAGCCGCCGGCGGCCCGGCGGCCCCCGCGGCCCCCGCCCCGCGACGAGGCGGCGGTCCATCGGCACCGCGGTCACCGGCCCGGCCGCGCGCTCATGCCGCTCGCGCGCTCGCCCGCCGGAGTCGGACGACAGGAGGGAGCGTGGGCGGCGGCGCCGGCGCCGGCGCCGGCCCGCCCTTTACTTCCGGGAGGGCGGGGCTCCGACGCGCGGCGGGGCGGGGCCTGCGGGAGGGCGGGGCCTGCGGGAGGGCGGGGCCTGCGGGAGGGCGGGGCTAGGCTCGGCCCCAGGCCCCGCTCTGCCGGCTGGAGGCCGCGGCGGCTCCCGGGTCAGCGCTGCCTTCCCGGCTGCCCGGATTTGCACGTTCATCACACCGGTGCCTTTACAAACCGAGCATGACGCCGACGCCCTTCGGAGTACCTGGAGGAGTGCCCCGCACCACCGGCCTCCCCTAGATTGTACTTTCCCCGTCTGAAGCGCCCCCAGAGTGTGGCCCCGGGGTGCATGCTAAGGAATTAACAAAGCCCACGGAGCGGTGCTTACACGGTTCAATGCGTTTTAAAAGCTAAACTTCAGAGCTTTTGTTTCCGGATTAGCTCACCAAGAAAGGAGAACGTCTCAATCTGGGGAACTTAAAACGTGGGGCAAGGTTGTTCACTGAGACCTCCTGGTGCAAGACATTAGAAACCAGTGGTGTTCAGGTCGGTGAACTTTCTGAATGCTCAGTGCACCTGTCCCAGTTACCGGTCCAATGTGTGAACTCAGGAGATGTTCCTTGACCGAAGAGACGGGATATGCACGAGGCTCCAGGCTTGAAGATACAAGAAAAATGAGATCATTCTTGTCCTCCAGGAGTTTTCTTACACACTTTTATTTGACCTCACATATGATGGAACAAAACCATGTTATGAGCCATAAGAGCTGCAAAGTGCTGATTAAAGAGAGTACAGATGGCTACGGAAGACGTGGAAGGGAGGTTTAAATGGCTATCAAAATGTAAAGAATTAAAAATATTAAAGTGCAAGTAGACACTTTCGTAAAAAGTACGGAGTTACACATTTGTAGAACTGGTAGAGAAAGCAACTTAGCAATGTGTATCAACTGCCTTTTATGTTCATGAGATGATGGCATGTGATTTGTTTCCAGTTTGGGGCTATTTTTTTTTTTCTTTTAAAGATTTTATTTATTAATTCGTGAGAGACGCAGAGAGAGAGGCAGACACACAGGCAGAGGGAGAAGCAGGCTCCCTGCAGGGAGCCCGATGTGGGACTCGATCCCAGGACCCTGGGATCACACCCTGAGCCAAAGGCAGACGCTCAACCACTGAGCCACCCAGGTGCCCCCCGTTTTTGACTGTTATGAATGAAGCTATTATGAACATTCTTGTATAAGTCTTTGTGTGGACGTATGTTATTTTTCCTTTGTTAAAGAAAAAAGTTATTCTATGACACTTGTTAATGCACAGTAAGGAAGACTTTATTCAAGGGTAGAGGGCTATCTTGGCAGGTGTAGGGAACACTGCTGTGGAATTCTGTGGTGGGGGAGAGAGATTAGGCTTAACTTCAAATAAAGTGGGGAGGGCACCTGGGTGGCTCAGTGGTTGAGCATCTGCCTTTGGCTCAGGTCTGATCATGGGTCCTGGGATTGAATCCCTCATCAGGTTCCCTGCCCAGTGGAGAGTCTGCTTTTCCTTCTCTCCACTCATGCTCTCTATCTCTCTCAAATAAATAAATCTTAAAAAAAAAGAAAAAAAGAAAAAGAAATAGTAAATATCTAGGTAAATGTAATACACTACTCTTTCTTCTTTAAAATACACTTAATGGGGGATCCCTGGGTGGCGCAGTGGTTTGGCGCCTGCCTTTGGCCCAGGGCACGATCCTGGAGACCTGGGATCGAATCCCACGTCGGGCTCCCGGTGCATGGAGTCTGCTTATCCCTCTGCCTGTGTCTCTGCCTCTCTCTCTCTCTCTTTCTCTCTCTCTCTCTGTGTGTCACTATCATAAAAAATAAATAAATAAATAAATAAATAAATAAAATGAAATAAAATAAAATAAAATACACTTAATGGGGCAGCCTTGGTGGCCCAGCGGTTTAGTGCTGCCTTCAGCCCAGGGCATGATCCTGGAGACCCAGGATCGAGTCCCACGTCGGGCTCCCTGCATGGAGCCTGTTTCTCCCTCTATGGAGCCTGTTTCTCCCTCTGCCTATGTCTCTGCCTCTCTTTCTCTCTCTCTGTGTGTCTCTCATAAATAAATAAATAATTCTAAAAAATACACTTAATGGTTGAAAGTAAAAGTTATAACAATGCCTGGAGGAGTTTTCAGTGTCTGTGGATATAATTTATAAGTACAAAATAAAGGGCCAAGAATAAAGAGGTTTATATGGTAGTAGTTTGTTTTGTTTTGTTTTGTTTTTTTTGAGGTTTTGTTTATTTATTCGTGAGAGACATCAGAGAGAGGCAGAGACATAGGCAGAGGGAAAAGCAGGCTCCCTGACGGTGAGACCAATACAGGATTCAATCCCAGGACCCCTGGATCACGACCTGAATGAACCAAAGGCAGCCACTCGGGAATCCCTGGGTGGTTCAGGGGTTTAGCGCCTGCCTTCAGCCCAGGGCGTGATCCTGGAGTCCTGGGCTGGAGTCCCGCATTGGGCTACCTGCATGGACATGACTGCTTCTCCCTCTGCCTTTGTCTCTGCCTCTCTCTCTCTCTCTCTCTCTCTCTCTCTCTCTGTGTGTCTCTCATGAATAAATAAATAAAATTTTTAAAAAACAAAACAAAACAGAAAAACAAAGGCAGCTGCTCAACCACTGAGTCACCCAGGAGTCCCAGTGGTAAGTTTTTTACATTGCACTTCAAGTGCTAAATACAGATTCTAAGTGGACTTAGAAAAGTTAAGCAACCCACAAACATACTGTTCAAAGACAGAGTTAAAATATACAATAAATAAAATGTAATAATAGAAAATGTTAAAATAACTGAAAAAGAGAAAAAAGAGAAATAGAAAATTAAAAAAAAAAAAAAGAAACAGAGGGAACCACCTTAAAGCAAATAATGAAATGGTAGATCTAAATCTAAACATGTAATAATCACATTAAATGTAAATGATATAAACCAGGTATCAACAAAGTTTTTAAAAAGGCCACATAGTAAATATTTTAAACTTTATGGGCCACATACAGTCTCTGTAGCATGTTCTTCACCAAAAACAGGTGATGGACTGGACTTGGCCCAGGGGACATTGTTTATCAACCTCTGGTCTAAGAACACCAATTAAAAGACAGAGATTGTTGGATGAATTAAAAAGTAAAAGAAAAAAGAAATGATGACTAACGACACAATTGACAAGAAACTCATTTCTGTTGGGATATAAGTAGGCTGGAGGGGTAAGGTAAGAGGGGATGCTCCTTCTTAGTGCTTCCCTGGAAGGTAAAAATCTCAATGAAAGGGCATCTGGTGGTTCAGTGGTGAGCATCTGCCTTTGGCTCAGGTGGTGATCCCAGGGTCCTGGGGTCAAGCCCAGCATCAGGTTTCCTGCAGGGAACCTGCTTCTCCCTCTGTATGTCTCTGCCCCTCTCTCTGTGTGTCTCTCATGAATAAATAAATAATTCTTTAGAAAAAAAATCCCGATGAATGTACCCTCTGATATGTGCTGAGATGGGAACTTGTCAGAGAGGGATTTCTCCTTGCTATTTCCTTTCTCTTTCATTTTAGGGAAACTGGGTTTCTGGCAATTTCAGAGTTTAAGAACATAGCCCTGAAACCGAAAGTGAAGGATGGCTCTGAGTCATCATCAGTTACCGAATCAAACCGGAGCTCTTCATGCCAAGCAAAGGCCTTTGGACACTCATTCTGTGCCCATTTACTCTTACTGAAGACATTAGCCCCTCCCACAATCTTATCAGGTAAGAAACAGTAAGTTAAAAGGGAGGAGAAATAAGACACTAAGGTGTAAGGAAGAGTAAAAAATGTAGTGATAGTGATATGGGAAGGAAATATAGATAAAAGTAAATGTCCTTATAACCTGCAGCCCATTGACAAATACTTGAGGCAGGCAGAGTATAAATTTACTCCTGGAAACTCCCAAATGTCTTAATGCTAATGCCTTGCTAGAGGGGAAAACAATCTTGGTTTGACAATAGCAAGGCCTCGGGTTTCCTTAGTCTTCTTTAGCATATGAAAATCCTTTTGAAACTCCCCTTCTCTTTACTTCCCCCACCCCAAAGTATATAATCAGTTGTTCCCAGGCACCTGGGTGGCTCATGGTTGAGCATCTATCTACCTTTGGCTCAGGTTGTGATCCCTGGATCATTGGATCGAGTCCCGCATCTGCTTCTCCCTCGACCTATGTCTCTGTGTCTCTCATGAATAAATAAATAAAATCTTAAAAAAAAGAAAAATCAGTTGCTTCTCACATTTCTGGGGCAGCAGTAGCTCTTTCTGCCCATGTCCTGTCCCCATGCTTTATAAAACCACCATTTTGCACCAAAGACATCTCAAGAATTCCTTCTTGACCATTGGCTCCAGACCCCACAGAACACCAAACTCATCAAAAACATTCAAAAATTACAGCAACAGGGGGACCTGGCTGGCTTAGTCGTTAGAGCGGTAGAGTGTGCGGTTCTTGATCTTGGGTTCAAGCTCTCTGTTGGGTGAAGAGATTACTTTAAAAAAATTAAAAATAAAATAAAAGCTAAAAAAAGAAGCAAAGAAAGAAATGTGACAGCACAATTGCCACTGAACAGTATGATGGCAACTTAGAGGATTCAAGCAAAGGTTCAGATATAATCCTTGGCTGAGTTTCCACTTCAGGGACAACTATCCATATACTGGATCTCTTCATTTTCCATATCTATTCTACTTGTTGGAATGACTGTGATGGTTTTTTGTTCACCTGCATTTACTTTGATCACCTCAAGCCTTCTTCTTTGGGAATAATTTAACTTTTGCTATACCATTCTGTTCCTTACTCTGATAAGCAGTCTGCCCCTGATATTTGTAGGGATCAGAGCAAGCAAAAAAATGAAGACCCACTACCCATATATCCAAATATTTAAGTTATCGATCAAGCCAATGGACTATTAAATAAAATATGTTCCAACCTCTTTTTTGTGGAGGGCAGTAGAAAATGCCACTTTGGCATTAGGATTGTTTTG